GTGTTCAACAATTAAAGTTGGTTCCTTGCAAACACCCTCCACTTGCGTTTTGTTGTCTTCTTACGAGACCAAAAAGCTTTTCAGGCTGACTTTGTTTTGAAACTAACAATGATGTGTAATGTCCCAAACGTAGAGAACGTGGTAATTTGGCAAGTTGATACATTTGCTCTTTTTTTCTAATCAATAAGGTATCAAACCTTGCGTCATGTGCAAATAATTTTTTTCTTCTCATTTTTACCCTTCATTTAAAAAGTATCTAATCACTAAGGTATCAAACCCAACTGCCTAGATGCAAGTATTGATTATACCTAGAAGGGTTTTTTTTTTTTTTGAAAAGGAGTATTAGCCACAGAGAGAGATCTATATTATTAAAAAGATAAAAATTAGAATTTAAATTTTTTACTTGGATAATTTAAACCCCTTTCTCTGCAGGGGAAGGAACCCACGCACTCATCACACATGCATCTATTTTGGTCATTTGAGATATAGAAACTAAGATCATCTTTATGAAAAGAGATATGGAGTGTCCCCTGAACCGTACACTTGGAGAATTTATGTTTAAAAATGAGAAAGTATTGCATAATGGTAAACAAAATGGATGTCAAAATCAGGGGCGTTCACTTAACAGGAGGGCCACTTTGGGATTATTGACAGAGGCACGCAGATTGGAATTTGGAAAGGAAGTTGGCATATATCAAATAGAATGATGAGAGCAATTAGACAAATAAAGAATATATTTGAGGTTCGTGTTGATTTTGGATATATTCATCGACAAGGAAAATATGCAAAATGCCCAGACCAATTTGCAGAAACTCTCATTTCTGTCCACAAGAGCCTGGTGTGGACCAAGGCTTGAAAATTCTTCCAACCAAGCAAATCAAACGGAACCTTAATTTTATCTGTCTAACCCTTTTTGCGGCCCAAAAGCATACTACATATTGATAACATAGGACAACAAAAGGAGAAGAGAATTCCGGTTGGATTCTCTGCGAATGCAATCCAATCACAAGCGATAACAACATTAAAGAAATTAATGGAGATTAGATCTAGTGAAAGGAATTATCTTTTAATAATATGGCAACTTAAGACTCGAATCTCCTCTAAAAGAATGTTCACATCTTTTTTTTTTACAAGCAAAAGAATGTTTACATCTAATTTCTGATAGTATTTCAAATAGGAGTATTTTTAATAAAAGACTATATATGTCTATGAAACAAAAAAAAAAAAAAGGAATGAGGGACATCAATTCCGCGGAATAACACGCTTATATCCTTTTGTCAAAATACTTGACAAGCTAATTAGTTGCCTTGCTCAACAAGGTCATATGGCTAGGACGTATATATAAATGATTTCTAATCACCTCGCCAAATTTTTTAAAAAATAATTAATTCATTGATGTTATTTGAAAAATATTTTTTTCCAATTATCCCTCTCATATGAAAAATCTTACCTAACTCATAAAAAGATAAAATTGGAAAAAATAATTAATAATCTATATTATGAAATGTAATTTATAAAAAGTATAACAATTTCTTTTAAAAAATAATTTATTTACATACCGCACTCAAGGGAGATGTAGAGTAGATATGAGTCTCATAAATATTGTTTATATTTATAGTTCTTAAAATATAGAATATATTGCATAGAATAGGCTAATACTGCTCATGATTCATGAATTATTTATAGCACTGTTGTCAAACTCGTGAGTTGACTCTCTGAGTTTAATGTTTTTATGTTTTCAACTAACAAAATCATGTTAATTCGTCCTTAAACTTGTGATAACTCTAAACTCGGTTAAACTTACGAGTTTATTTACCAAGTTTACCGTTTTTAGTTTTTAGCTTACAAAACCGTGTTAACTTGCTCTTAAACTCGTGCTAAATTTTTGAATTTGATTATGTTTAGTGACTTTATATATGAATTTTATAGAAATTTTTTTGTTGAATGTGATAAATTATGAATATTGATGGGTATAATTTCAATTATTTAAATTTAAAATATATTTAAATAAAATTATTCTCATTTTTTATATATTAATTATTTGATTATATACTTTTAATACTAGTTTATTAATAAAAGTAAACTCTTACGAGTTTATGATCCGAGTTTTATCATTATCTCGAATTTGTTTAAACTTGCGAGTTTGACAATCTTGATTTATAGTATCAATTGCTATAAATTTTCATTCAAAAATTTCGTTAATTACCTTGACATGATGACTTTAGTGGAAAGAAATAAATATGTGAATGATACATAAAATTAGGGGGGAAACAAAATTAAGATGTAGAATTACATGTGAATTTGTCGGGAAAAAATACATATGAATTTGAAGGACAACTTTGAAGCTAAAGAAAAAAATATACTACTACCTCTTATAGTGATTCAATTTGGTTCTAAATTAAAACCATGCATCCCATACTTATTCGCTTTTTCCTAAAATAGCCTTTATGGTGATTATACATGATAAAGTGTTTCCATTCTAATACACATAATTAACAAAGAATATTTTAATAAAAACGGCACTCATTAATTATAAATAACTGATTTAACTGACTTTTTAATATTTATAAACCAGTTATCTAGTTTTTATATTGAGAACCGAATGTAGTATTGTTCATGTAAAACATGTTGAGTGTGATGATATAGAACGATGTGAGGAACGGGAATGAAGATCTGAGATGAGGATTTGCCAGTAATCATTCAAAAACTCGGGAGTTAGGAGTGGCTAAATCAAGAATAATTGAATATGCATGCACTTCCTTATTCAACTCGCCTGCGTTCCACTTCCTGGGAAGCATGGCAGCATTTAAAAATATGCTTTGTCCCTCGTCTGGTCAATTATTTCTTTTTCATTCTGCGACGCGTCGTCTTCTTCTATTTTTCTTTCAAGATTCTTCACTTATATGATCACCCCATATATACTTTATTTTACACCACTTTGCCCCACGAACTAATCAACTTGGCCTTCATCACTTTAAACGTTCACATGTATATATCCCATAAAAAAATTCACATTTTTTATTTATATATTATACCTATGTCTAATCCATATCTGTAGTGCAATTCCATTAGGCTTTTCTACATCATGAAATCCATATTTGTCTGTATTTTGAATTTGGTTTTTTTCATTTTTATTTTTATTTTGGTCCTAAATATAAAACTCGAATCCACTTTATCTCTCATATTTATGCATTTTTTTCAAGGTAGTCCTTCTAATAATTATAGTTCTAGCCAATATAGTTGATTAGTAAGGATATTTTAGGAAAGACAATACTTATTTATTACAAATAACTAATTTAACTTCTTTCCTTAATCTCCTCAAATTAGTCAATTGGGTCTTATAATTAGGACCGGAGGTAGTATTTCTTATTTATTGTATTGTTCTTGGTTCGTTTCAAATTTATTTGTTGTTTTTATTTTGTTTGTTACTAAATGAATGTTTCATTAAAAAAAACTAATTTTTTTATTTCATCTTACATATTTTATGCATTTCATCTCATGAAATGTTTTTTTCTCATTCATAATTTGCTCAAAAAATGTCATGGTTAAGAAAAATCTTTATACTTCTCCGGTCCTTAATATAAGACCCATTTAACTAATTTATCTTAATATGTAAAATTAAAAATATACTTAATTTCAGCGTAACTGATCTGGCCTCTATTCGACTATAGTCCTTTCTTTATGATCCAATTCAACTATAATCTACTGTACTTATTAATCACTGAACCAACTAATGTAAAGACGAATTTAATTTTTAATGATTTAATATCCCTGCCTACCTTTATTAATATTATCATTAACATTCAATTTCCCAAGCACGTCACAGATCACTTGGTCCCTAATGCGGACCACCACATGGCCCAAATTGGTACGGATTTTCCCCCATCATTATTACCACTTGATCTCATAAATTTTACAAATACAGATCCAGATCAACTTACTTTAATGTTTAAATACACAAAAAAAAAACCGTGTTTTGGGTATAAAAAAAATATTGATAGGAGGAACCATTTACGCCCCCCGTCCTTAATTTGGGTTGAACCCGAACCCTGCCTAGAATTTATTTACCAAAATAAATAAATGAACTACCCTTTTATTATTTCTAATTACTTCATATATCAATTTCCTTTTTCTTAAGGAAACAAAATAAACATCAGGCAGTTTTTAAGCTGCAAAGGCCCAACACTGAGTGTAAACAAATCTGATCAAGAATCAACTGAGGGCACTCATCATTTGTGACATTGTATCTAGCTCATGTTGAGTTAGACAAACATATCAACGTTACAGCAAAGCGCAAAGTAATTTATTATAATAAATTTAATTTTCAATGAACTGAAAAACCAGTTGAATTTTAAACACTTAAAATTTAAAGTTAACTTATTTTAATTTTCTTTTTCAATAAAATAAAATAAAATTTAAATAATCCAATAACGAGTTAATGACTGCATGACTTAATTCATTGGGGCGGATTGGGCGGCATGTCTCTGGCCTGGGGTAGCCCTCCCGGACAAGTACGCGGGAACAGAAGACGGCGTCGTTTTCTCATCACGTGATTGGATGTTCTTCCTGCTTCCCCATACCGATCCTTGACACGTGTCAAAATCAGAGAGCTAGTCTTGACGATGTGGTAAGCTCCGTAAGGAAAGAGCTAGGACCCGTTAGATTTAATAATTTATTATTCCAGATATTTTTAACGACGCACTAATTAAAAATTTTTTTAGCAAATAATAAATAATGGTTTCTTTCAGGGTGCAAAACTCAAGGTAGGCTCACGCATGAGGCACCGCTCGCATGAGCGGCATGACTCAATTTTATAATACATAAACAATTAAAAAGAATAATTAAACAGAAAAAAGCATAAATAATACTAATAAAAAAATGATAAATATATTAAATAAGCATTAACCAAGTCTGGTTGGAACCTTGAGTTGCTGCTTTCTTCTCCCCCCTTCACTCTCTGCCTCATCTCTCCCTCACTTTTCTTTTTCGCTTTCTCTCTCTCTCTCTGTTTTCGTTTCCTGATTCGCTTTCTCTCTCTTCCACTTCTGTATAAATCAGACCCATCTTCTCTTTCCCCGTCCTCTTCAAGCTCTCTTTTCTGAGCCTAACCCCTTCCGAATTGACTTACCTTTTTTCGGTGAATAGTTTTCAAGTATTTCTCAGGCTTCGTACACGAAGCTGTATTGTGAAGAAGGATACAGGTATTTTTTGGCTTTTCCTTAGATCCGTTGAGTCTTCAGAGATTGATTTCCTAGCTGCCTTCGCAGATTCAATTAATTTTTTCTTCCTTCTCCTCAATTCGGTTTTGTGTCTGCTTTACCTTAATTCATTTCTCTTCTGGATCGAACTTGTGCTTACATGCATCGAGTTTCGAGAAGATGAAGATTATGATTTGGATGTCCGCTAGGCTAACAAGCTTCTCTCGCCTTCTATTTTCTTTTGCTTCTTTGGTCTGAGAAAACGAAAATTAAGAGTTGAAGTTTTGGCCTCTTGGACTGCAAGTATTTTCTCTTTTGAGGGGGGAAAAACAGTGCCCAGTTTTTTTACCAGATCTATCCTGCGTTGTGTGAAAGCTCAATCGCTCTCTCAAAAATGTAAAGATGAATTTTCCCGTCGTTGTAAAAAAAAAAAAATTTACGGAATGAGCAGATATTTACTCATCAATTTTTTTTTCCCAATAACTTCTGAGAATTAAAAAAATTCAGTATTATGGTTTCCCTCTGATTATTTGCACGGTCTTAATTAACTCTTTAGGTAAGGTGTAGTTGCTATCGGAGGACGGCGATGGGTGGTTGATAATTTTAAAGTTGAAATACAATAATTTTTTAATCTTGTTTTGGTTTGACCAGATCTTAAGATTGAGCTTTTCAAATTTTTATGCACGTTTTCGATCATATTGTATGATATCCTGAATAAGTCCAAAATTATAGTATTTCTTTATTCATTACTATAGATTATCATCCTAAATTTTTTGGCGCTATATATTGTTTGGCTTTGGAAAACCAGGTTAGTCCATTCGTTGATAGATTTCAAGGAAGAAGATGAACCACTGCTTGATCCAGAAACAAAACGTCGTCGTGGCAACCCGGGAAGAGATGAGTGGCAGAGACCCTGTGGTTTGTCCCAAACCTCGCCGCCTCAGCCTCTTAAACGTCGCCGTTAACGAGCATCCCGTTAGATCCTTTCGGTGGCATGTCAGGTAGCTCCTCATCTATTTGATTTTGCATACGCTTTTTATAGTTCCTTTTTTCCCGTTAGATTTTGAACTTCACCTTTCGGACAGAGTCATTTATTTAAACTTTCTGTTGCTTCTTCTGCAGCTGCCAGCCAGAGATGTGCGACCCAAAACCCATGGCGGATCCTTTGGATTTCATCCTTGCCGAGGTAGCCCCTCCTTCATTGATTTTGTCGTTTCTGAATACGTTGATAAGTGTTTTTTTTTTTTTTAAGATCTTTGGTTGATTTATCTATTTATTTATGTTTTGGTTGATGTTTGTGGCTGCAGGGTGATTATGGGATAGAACAATCATGTACACAGATGGTCTCGTCGCCCCCTTTTTTTTGCGGGTCACCGCCGAGTAGAGTAGAGAACCCATTGATTCAGGATGCTCGATTTGGGGATGAAAAGTTCTTCCCGCTGTCGCCACCGGTCTGGGCTCCTTCCCCGCCGGTCTTGGCATCGTCTCCGGTGTCTTCCGCAAGGAAGGGAGGCTGTATCCGAGCCAATTTTGGGAACAATCCGGTCGTGAGGATCGAGGGGTTCGATTGCCTGGACAGGGACAGGCGAAATTGCGGCATCCCTGCTCTGGCCTAAAAAGAAACAAAAAGAAAAACATCCATCTTGCAGAATTAGATCAATTTAGTGGAGGAGAAACTTTTAGAATTCATTGTTACGCAATAGAAAATCACACAAACTACGACACCAGAAGAGGAATTTTGAATGTCTCTGAAGAGGAAGAAGGAAGAAGAGAGAAATATCTTTTTTGCCTGATGTAAATATATGTTTGGAAAGTGTTTGTAAATGTGTCATATATGGGCGGTGGACTGAGAATCATGTGGTTTAGAAGTGTCCAGAAACGAGAGGTTTTGGTTTGGGTGTATTTAGTGGGATTTGGCCCTCTGTTTCTGGTTTTAGGGTCTTCCATCCTCTTCATTTGTAAGTAGGTTTAGAGGAAGGAAAATTTCATGTTAAGATTCGTCGTCAGGTCCTTGAAACGTAGTTAGCGGCTGAAGAAGGAGAATCTGTACAAAATTATCTTTGAGTCAACCAAGTCATATGGTCTATGTTGCAAATGTGAACATGAGCCACTTGTCACGTTAAACCCAAAAGAAAAACAAAAAGTGTCTTTTCTCTTGTTTCGTGCACGCTGGTTCTCTCCATGTCCTTTCAATCTATGGGTGACTAGTTTTGTTTGAATTGGAATCTCTTCTTTTTCAAAATTGAGGAGATAATAAAATATAATTGTTGAACATCCCAAAACACAATTGTCCGGGCAAATCCAAATTAAAGACTTTGAAATGACTAACAGGGAGATTGGTAACTTCTGAGTTATGGTTTTAAAAGTATTTTTTTCACAAAATGAGGTAAATTTTTTTATATATTTTTTTTGTAAACCGTAAAAGTACTTCTGAAACTATAGTTTGGTATCTATCCAAACACCTCTTAAATAATTGTGAAGTGTTTAATGATAAAAATATTTTTAAAGTGATGGCAATTAATTTTAGAAAAAACTATATGTTAATACATGTGGCGATATCAGTTTGACGGGAAATATCTATTTTTCTTTTGGCCACAACGAGAAATATCTTTAACATAACAAAGGCAACAAAAATTGAAGTAATAATAACTAATTTTACGGAGAGTTTGACAAGATAAAAAAATACTTTTAAAAAATATTTTTTCACAAAACAAAATAAATTTCTTTACATATTTACTTCGTACATCATAAAAATGCTTTTAAAATTATAATTTAATTTCTATCTAAATACCTCTAGTAAGTAATTGAATCACTTTTCAAAAATAAAAACCCTAATTCCAAAACCATCTTTAAATAATTCATAAAAATTTAGATATTTTAAAGATATCATTACGAGATTCTTGTTCATAGAATATGATGACATGGCATCCTTTCAAATGTACAGCGAGAATGTTAAATCATGGTACGTACACAGTGGGGGTGGACGGCGCCAACTGGGGACTTTATTGGCAGTAATGGTTCTTCTGTTGGGACACTGTAATGCATAAAAGGTTCTTGCCAGTTGTGTGGCCTAAACCATGCTTGTCAATCAAGCAGAATCTGTTGACCATTATCGGATTCAACCTTTGTTATATGTCAATCCCTAATACTGTTTTTTCTTCCCCCCAATTTACAAAATAAAGAATTTTTTTTTTGCTAAAACAAAATTAAGAAATATACGATAAAAGCTTGATGCTTAAAGGAATGGTGCCCACAAAAAAGTTGGAGAACGTTGCAGTATATATATATTTTTTTACTTCTTTATTTTCCATCATCTAAAACATGTCATATTATGGAATGAAATAAATTTTTTTCATGCCTAATTCTCATTAATTAACAAGAAGAAATTAAGGATAATTTTTTTATGTTGGATGGCAAATCATTTACTAGGAGTAATTGCGAAAAGTGATTTTAATTCGAGATAAATATAACCAGTTAAATTGCGAAAAAACTGTTAAAGCGATTTTAATTTCAGTATTCTATTGATTACATACAAATGAACTGGAGAAAATAAAAATAATAATAATTATTGAATTTTAAAATAAAAAATAAAAAAATTATTACAAAAATATACTTGTATTTATTTTTTAAATGTAGTCATTTTTTTTATAACTGTAATAACTAATATTAATTTAAAATTTTAAAATTCAGCAGTCTTGTTTTGAGGATTTTCTGATCTCCCTTTCATTCTTTTCGCCAAACAAAAAACAAATTTGGTGCTTTTTTTTATTAAAAATTGAGAGAAAGAGAGTGAAACATGTGCTGGTGGACGGTGAAGGGTGAGTTAAACGGGCTTTTAGTGGGATGACGTGGATAGTTATCTAACGCCAATAAATGAACAAAGCTAGGAGTATTTGAAAGATCCCGTTCACTTTTTTCCGTACAGGTATCCTCTTATATGAAAATAATCATATTTGAGATACTGTCAAGCACTAAATGTGGACACCTCTCTCAACGGGAATTCGAACCTTGGTTGGCCACGTTATGAAGGATTAACCCTTTCTGCTAACTCAACTCTTATTAGTGATTCCATTGACTTTGAATCAAGGCTAGACCCTTTGTGGCCGAAAATGAAAATAAGTAGTCCTCCCTTGCATTTTAAAAAAATAAAATAACCATTAAGTGTTGGCCTAGCTCAAAGGAATTTAGATGTTTTAAGCATCATGTTCTGAGTTTAATCTTTAGGACGGTGCATATAGAGAAAAATATTGTTGGGAGGGTCTCCGCTACGATGCCTAACACTTGACAGTATCATGAAAGATTAGTCTCTTACTGTTTGGGTGGAAGGATATTCTGGGCAATCCAAAAAGAAAGAGAGCAAATTAAACAAGCTTGCTAAAATTTCTTTGTTCGATACCTTATGTTTAAAAGGTTAGAGTTCCTTTTACTTAGAACAACTTGTTGCTAACCCCCTGACACATCTCAAAGGTATTTTTATTTTGAAAAAATAAGTAAATTTTTTATTAAAAATTAGATAAAGTTGTTTATGCACATTAGGTCAAGTTGATAAGTGAATTTGCAAATACACATGCGTATTTCAACGATGAACCAAACAAAATAATTAGTGTTCATATAAAAATTTATAAATATTAATTTATATTATAAGAGCTTATATAAAATTTTACAAATGTTCATATGTGAAAGTACAAATGCATAAATGAATTTTAACAATTAACAATAATAAGATAATAAGTATCATTAAAGAATTTAATGTAATAAATATAAATAACTTGATCTAGAATCAGCCTCTAAATAATTATATAAATATCCCTGCTCAAAAGAGATTGCCAGAAAGAGGTTTTTTTCTTTTATCTTTTTTGCCTTTCGTTTGGGTTGGGAACTGTGGAGGGAAGGGCAAAGGCATGTGATGGCTGATGAGAGTATGGTGGGTTGAAAACTTTGCCACACCCAATTATTAATGCCTCCATCCTCCAACCACAAAACAAAAAATTACGACAAAAAAAAAGGACCACAAAAATTACAAAATCGCAAATTGAGACACATTACAACTCTTCATTGATTTTGACAAAATACCTAATTTACAATTTCACAATTTCTATAGTCTTTTTTTTGTGATTTTCACTACTATTTATTGTTCATAATATAAAAAAAAAATTTATGCACTGATTTTTGTTACATGTGAACTTGGATTGGTCCCGCTTCTCCGGACAGTTGACATTGCTTGTCCAGATCCACTTTCTTTTAGGCCTGTTTGAGTTCCCAGTGAATTCCTAAATAATTAAAATATTTACTCAATAATGAGAGCCCAATAGACATCGTAATCTACAGTATCTATTTTTAAAATCCTTGGACTGTTCCTTTTCTTCTTCTTTTTAATCCAAATCCATTCATCAACATAGTCATCTTTAAATGTTTTATCTTTCTTGGTTAATTATCAAATAAACATTACTTTTTGCCAAGTACAAACATCTCTCTTAGTAAGAATTTAAATTTTGATTTGCATAATTGTTGCTTATTTTTAAACATTTTGTAACTATGGTTTTGCTGCCTTAATTAGTGGGCTTAATTGAGGCCTTTTCAAGTTCAGGCCTTTGTTTTCCCCGGCCACTTTCAATATACTCCCTCCAATCGGGAAATTTTATAGTCTGATTTAGTTTTAAAACATTAGGCAAATATGTGGCAATTTAGTTTTTTTTTAATATTGTCCCTCCTTAATTTCCGCAAATTGACATATTGTTGTAAAACTACAAGAAATAAGGAGACTAGAGAGTAGAAAAGAAAGCAAGAGATAAAGAAGACAATGTCTTTTTTCTCATTCACTTTGTTTCATGGTACAAATGCCTTATACAATGCCTTTATTTATAGACCTCCAAGCATTGAAGTCCTATACTAAGGTTACAAAGGAATAAAGAATATCATAATGGCATTAACAATGAAAAACTCCTCCCAAATCATTTATTAGGAAAGTTATATAGTTTATGACACTTGAAAATAAAGAATCCTATGAGAATTCTAAAGATTAGGGGTTATAGGTATCCACTCATACAATATTTATAATACTCCCCCGTGGATGTCCATAATGAGTATTGTACCTCATTAAAACCTTATTAGAAAAAATCCATTGGGACAAAAACCTAATGAAGGAAAAAGAGTACATAATGTTTACTCCCCCTAATGATAACATTATTTTATGCCTTTAAGTCTACGCATTACAATACCATACACTAACTTCTCAAATGTTCTAGTCGGTAGTGTCTTGGTAAACAAATAAGCAAGATTGTTGCATGACCGAATTTGCTGAACATCTATATTACCTCTTTTCAAAAGATCATGAGTAAAAAAGAACTTTGGAGAAATATGTTTTGTTCTATCTCCTTTGATATATCCTCCTTTTAATTGAGCTATGCATGCTGTATTATCTTCATATAATATTGTTGGAATCTTTTGTTCTAAGAAAAAACTACATATTTTTTGAATATGTTGAATCACTAATCTCAGTCAAACACATTATCGACTTGCCTCATGAATTGCAGTTATTTCCGCATGATTTGGTGGGGTAGCTGATAAAGTTTGTTTTGTTGAATGCCATGAGATAGTTGCACCTCCACAAATAAATAAATATCCTGTTTGAGATTTGTCTTTATGCAAATTTGATAAAAATTCTGCATCTGCATAGCCAATTAATTGTGATTCTAATTCATTAGAATAGAATAAACCCATATCAATTGTCCCTCAAAGATATCGAAATATATTTAATTCTATTTCAATACCTTCTTGTTGGGGAAGAACTAAATCTTGCCAACAAATTAATAACAAATGCAGTATCAGGTCGTGTTGAATTAGCAAAATATATTAATGCACCTATGGTACTAAGATATGGTATTTCAGGATCAAGAAGTTCTTCCTCATCTTTTTGAGGGCAAAAAAGATCTTTATCTTTATCAAGTGATCTTACAACCATAGGAGTAGATAATGGATGCGCCTTATCCATATAAAATGGCTTTAATACTTTTTCAGTATAAGTTGATTGATGGAAGAAAATTGCATTTGCCAAGTGCTCAATTTGCAAACTGAGACAAAACTTTGTTCTTCCAAGATTTTTCATTTCAAATTTTTTCTTTAAATAATCAACTACTTTTTGAAGCTCTTCGGGAGTTCCAATTATAT